TGTCTGGAATGAGTAACACAACCAAGATGTTCTGACTGTTTGTCCGTATTTCACACCTCATGCCCTGGGATAAACTGAGACTGAATCAACACAAAATCTGTATCCCAGTTCCTGCCTCAGTTTGATCTTTTTAACATCACACAGTTCCTCTACTGTGATGTCATCTTGATACAAAAAATGTATCTACCATGTTCACATGTTCACAGTACTGCATTGCTTTAGGTTACATTATTGTAGTGGCTGCATTTCTCCCAGTTCCCATGCATGCAGATAAATGTATATCCACATATCCATATAAGCCCGTGGTTCCCAACGTGTGGTCCGTGGACCACTCGTGGTCTGCAAGAATGAAAATATGGTCTGCAGCTTCACCATTACTACACCGTTGCCTTGAAACCACACGGCAACAAGAACGACTGGTCTCGTGAAACCCTCTTATAGTGCCGAGGCAACAAGGATGTTGGGAGGGGAGAGGATAACTACCCACAAAAGATTACTACTCCACATCAGCTCTAGATTATTAATATGGTTTCTGTGGGCGAGCATATGCTGATTACTGGATGGCATATGTTCTGTATCAGAAACTAGAGCTGATGTGGTCTATCCAATGCAATTTTCTGAATCAGCACCCCAAATAATCAAACCAAATCTAAAGTTGACCAAAAACTGATTTGTAACCCTTTTAGTACTAATGTTGGAGAGTGGTCCCTGTTCAAGTGGCCCCGTCACAGTGGTCCCTAGTCAAGTAGTCCCGGGTCAAGTGGTCCCTCATAAAAAAAGCCATCATTCTTATTGCCCACCTGCGCTCCTAATGGGAGGGGTGTATTTTGGCAGGACCATGCCTGGGCAATCCATTAACCACTTTAGCTGAAGAATTTTTGGAAAATCTTTCCATCTGTGATACTAGGAATGTGTGGAAACAAAAATGAAACTTTGGAAATCTGAACTTTTTTTAGGGTGGAAGGGAGTGCATATCATTGCCTAGAATTAAGCTAAGAAGGAAATGGGGGAAAATAACCAGCTTTAGTTCTTGGCTTCTGTGCAGAATGGATAAGGAAGAAACAAATTCTGTCATCCCATTGCCCCCCTCCCCCAGATGTGACAGCTATTGGCCATGTTAGGTGAGGATGATGACATATTTGGTGGCATCAGGTTGGAGAAGGTTGGACAAAAGAGGGGCTAGCAGCAGCTATTTACTTCACTGGGCATCATGGGGCATTGGGAGGAATCCAAAGAGAGCAGAAATGATCACTGAACTCTTGATCGATATACACTAGAAATTTCAAAGAGGACCTGTTTGCTTTAGATGAAGATTGATCCAGAAGAGCAGCAGAATCTATCAGGAGGTAGACTGATTTGGGCATCTGTCTCAATCCAGAGATGACAGAGGATAAAAGGGCTATAAGAAATCCCGAAGAACTATGGGAGAGGAAGTAAATCTAGCAATACATCTGAAAATATTTTAAAAATCTAATTAAATTGGAGGGATCTGTTTGTCCTTGAGGAGTTTGGAGAATAATAATAATAATAATAATAATAATAATAATAATAATAATAATAGAAGATTGTGGTGCACAACCTGCTGTAGGGTAATTGTGGGCAATCTCTTTCAACCTGAAAGTCATATTCAATTTAAAGGAAAGTACTTTGAGTCCACATTGCAGTGATGGTAGAGCAAAATCTAACTGGACTCTTATGGGAGCCAATAACTAACTTGAGGAGAGGCATTCCAACCTTTTACAGAGAAGTATGGAACTGCATACCGAGAAGAACACTGGAGGACAACACAAGAAAGCTGGGAAACCACCAAATCATAGCTTCATAAAGGCCGACTTTCTGGTGAAGTCCAGATGGAAGCCTCCAGATTGCTTCTCCCCTTAAGTAGCCTTTGTGTTCTTGAGTCTCCTGCTTATTCCATCCCACAAGTGTAATTAACCCACTGATAATATTAACAGTTTTAGCTAGGTTCTTTCTGACCTCCCTACTGTCTCTCTGGTAGCAGGATATTCAGAAAGCCAGGATCTTCCCAACAGTTGACCCTTCCTGGAGGCTGTGTGTTGTTTATATGTAGTCTATGCAGCTTAATTGACTGGCTGCTTCAGGAAATCACTTACCATCACCCGAGTGAAGGATGTATGTTGCATCCCAGAAATCTTAATGAAACCCCAAGATGTACAAAATGTCTCTGTGATATAACACAGTATCCTTGTGTAACTCCTTCTCCATCCCATACAAGCACCTCAGAGCAGCAGCTTGACAATACAGCGATAGACCTATTGCCACATACTCAAATCTTAAAGCTCTTTCTTTGTCCACTTAATCCTTTCCGGGTACATTTAGTGTGTAGGTACTGGCATGCTTTACTCCAATGTTTCCAACTGATTGAAACTATTTCAATGTAGTAGAAGGGGGAGGGGGGAACTATAGGAAACCAATGTGTGGGAATTTGGAAGATGTCTATTTGCAAGTAAAGGTAAGCAAGCAAAGAAGCAAGACAGGTTGGTAAAGATTTATTTGTATATAGTATCTAAAACAATTCCTGTCCTCATATGTTCCCTTTTAAATATTAAAATCTGCATCAAATAACCTTTTACAAATCCCCAGGGGTTGCTTACCTGCCAATGTGTCATGAGTTGTTACCAGAGGGAAAGTCTCTTAAGTGGTGGTATCTTGTCTTGCAAATACTTTTTTCTCCAAAAAAAGGCTAATCTGGAGTTTGGGAAGTCTAGTGTGAGAACATTAGACTGGGATTTGGGAGATGTAAATTCATTCCTAACTTATATATGAACACTGCTGGAGAATCGTAGGCCAGTAGGTTGCCAGCATGGAAACTGGAGATGCCTCCTGTCCCATTGATGGTTGTGTAAAGGTAAAGGTTTCCCCTTGACATTAAGTGTAGTTGTGACTGACTCTGGGATGTGGTGCTCATCTCCATTTCTAAGACAAAGAGCCAGTGTTGTCCATAGACGCCTCACAGGTAATGTGGCCAGCATGACTGCATGGAGTGCCATTACCTTCCCACTTTTTTTTTGTCGAAACTGCAAGTCGCTGCTGGTGTGAGAGAATTGGCTGTCTGCAAGGACGTTGCCCAGGGGACGCTAGGATGATCTGATGTTTTTGTCATTCTTGTGGGAGGCTTCTCTCATGTCCCCACATGAGGAGTTGGAGCTGATAGAGGGAGCCCATCTGCCTCTCCCTGGATTCGAACCTGCGACCTGTCGGTCTTCAGTCCTACTGGCACAGGGGTTTAACCCACTGAGCCACCGGGGGCTCCACTGAAGTGTTACCTATTGATTTACTCACATTTGCATGTTTTTGAATTGCTAGATTGGCAGAAGCTGGGGCTAACAACAGGAGTTCACCCCATCCCACAGATTTGAACTGTTCTGCAGCTTAGCAGTTTAACCTGCTGCACCATCATAGCCCCTCTAATGATTGTGTAGAACAACTAATCTAAGCAGGCATTGATTGCTGTATAACTAGGTAACATAAAACACTTGTTGAATTCCCTCAAATAGGCATCTGGTTCACGACAACCAAACTTTTAGAATGTTACTCCACACTTCCACTCTCAAGTGGTGCAGGTCACTGTTCTGCTGCTTGTGTAATTTAATTTGGCAACACATGCGTGTGCATACATTCCTCCAACCACCACTTCCCATGCCAAAATGCTAAACCACTCTTAAGACTAAGAAAATTTCTTACAGGCAGCTTTGTTTGTTGTTAGAAGTGTTTTATTTGAAGAATTAATAATTTTAATAAGAGCAGTACCCCCACCAGCATTTCATTCTTTACTCATTTGAGACACCGCCACAATCTTCACTTGCACAGAGTTACAAGAAATCAGATTCATTGAGAATGTAATACACAATAGATTACATACTTTTAATAACCTTTCCCAAGAGCTTTTTTTTTTAACTTGGTTAAAATATAAATCTGAAGATGGATCTAGATAAGCAGACCTCTCTTTTGCAGTAGAGTTTTCCTGGCATTCCAAAAGCTGCTCATAGGGTTCTAGAACAACTCCCAGAAATACCAGCCAGTTTACCAGCTGTTAGGATTTCTGGGAGTTGAAGGCCAAAACATTTGGGGACCCACAGGTTGAAAACCACTGTTCTAGAAGCTTTCTGGAATGGCATGGAATTATCTTTACTCAGAATTACTAAAGTGCAGCTTGACCAGTACCTGTAGTTTCATGTGTCCATGTCTGACAAAATATGTCCTTTCTAGACATTTTCTAGGTCCTCTAGTGTTATTTTATGGTATTCTTGGTCTGGAGGTCTTTCACTTCAATAGGGGTTGCTACAGAGGCGGCCCTAGGTAATTTTCAACGGTAAGTAAACAGTATTTTGGCGCCCCCCCCCCCCAACCAATCACTGATATATATTTTCTGTTTGTCGTGGGGGTTCTGTGTGTCATATTTGCTTCAATTCCATCATTGGTGGAGTTCAGAATGCTCTTTGATTGTAGGTGAACTATACATCCCAGTAACTACAACTCACATATGTCAAGGTCTATTTTCCCCCAAGAGCGCCTCAAGAGCGCCCCTGGGCAAAACCAACTATACTGCAAATGCTTACTTTGCGTAATGGTTGAACCGCCCCTGTGGTATTGCATATCCCTTGCGAATACAGGGGTCATACCGTGTCTCTTTGAATATTGGCCGATAGAACTAATATGAATAATATGTACTGGCAGATCATTCCTGCTCCAAGACTGTTTCATTCTGTCCTATCTTCCTACTGAGTTAACTGAATGCAAAATACTTTTGCACTACTTTTGAACTCAATTTACAGCAATTGAAGTAATCCGAAGACAAAGAAGGAAAGCGGGAGGAGAGAGAAACTGGAACATTTTAAGAGCAGCTAATAAAAATGGAATGGCAGAGTCAGAACTTTGCCTGACAAACTGGGAAAGCTGGAAGGTGTGTGTGGAGGAAGCCTGGCAATGTCTTTGCTTCATGTGCTATGGTTCTCTGTGTCTGAAACCAATTCATTAAAAAAAAAATCTTTGTGCAGTACTTCTCAAACCAGCCATTTCATAAAGCTTAATCTGATTATTTGCTTATGATTTCATTTCACTAGCCTCCAGTTTAAATTTCAGATAGTTTTGCCATTTTGTATTATTTAAAAGATAATATATATTATAAAGTGAATATAAATACAAAATAGGTCTGTTTTGTTTCTTCAGAAGCACACACGCTAGGATTGTTCAGGTTCTCTTTCCTGTGTGAAAGAAAAGAAGAAGAAATAAAGTACTCATTGCAGGCAGGACTATCTCAAGTGTGAATTCCATATATGTCTATTCAAAATGAGATCAGTGAGAATCAGTGAGATTATATGTCTATCCGAAATGAGATCAGTGAGATTATTTTTAGGTTAATGGTAATTTTTACTGGTACGAGGAGCAACCTTGGCTACTAGAAGTGGTAGCAAGAAGTTGGTGAAGATTATTGCAATTTATCCCACAAGGAACTGCCTTTGAAAATAGTTTAGAAATGTTGTTTAGCACTTATGTTATGAAAATGCTAACTGGGACTGGGTGGCAGGACTGCCTTATGCCAGTACTTTCTTATCTATGAACCTGTGAGGACTTTAAGATCATCTGGAGAGGCCCTGCTCTCAGTCCCGCCATCATCACAAGTACGGTTGGCGGGAACGAAAGACAGGGCCTTCTCAGTGGTGACGTCTTGGCTATGGAACGCCCTTCCTAGGGAGATTAGATCGGCTTCCTCGCTCCTATCATTCCGGAAGAATCTTAAGACATGGCTATTTGAGCAGGCATTTGAAAATATGGAGTAATGGATATAATAACAGAATAACTATGTGGCGGAACTGGACATTGTTTTAATAATTATCGATTGAAGTATGTTTCATTATAATGTTTGATTTTATTATTGCTGATGTTTTTATATTGTATATTGTAATTGTGTCCTTGGAGACATTGAATTCTTGCCTTGTAAACCGCCTCGAGTCTCCAGAAGACTGAGAGGGGCCATATAGAAAAGAAATGAAATAAATAAATAAATAATTGCTGTTTTGTCATCTGCAATCCATTTGAAAATGTATTTTTTGTTCAGTCATTTGTTGAGTTAACTTTAGAGTTCAATAAAATCTTACTGAAATATTCTTTCCCATTCCTGCTCCTTCTCATTCCAATGGTATATCACAGAGACAACATGTAGCACCAGTTGTAAAGGCTCTGCGCTGGCTGCCCATTCACTTCTGGTCTGAATTCAAGGTGTTGGTTATGACATTCAAAACCCTGGAAGAGCACTTCACCCTATACCAGTGGTTCTCTACCTGTAAGTCCCCAGGTCTTTAGGCCTACAACTCCCAGCAATCCCAGCCAGTTTACCAGCTGTTAAGATTTCTGGGAGTTGAAGGCCAAAACACCTGGGCACCCATAGGTTCAGAACCACTGCCCTATATAGTAGATCTTTGGTATCTGCGAGGGTTTGGTTCCAGGACCCCATGTGGATAGTTTTTAGATGATCCACTAATACACAGTTAAAATAGTAGTGTATGAACTTCATAGAGAATCTGGACCCACACCTCATCTTTCTTAAGTCCCCACAACCCCCCCCCCCCAATGAGAATGGAAAAGGGAATCACTACACTGTTTACTCTCAAGTCAGGAGTCGTCTCCTATTCCCTCCTGAGTCAGATGTTCTTGTATTGCTGAGATGTTTATGTATAATTCCTATGTATTATATTCATTTTTATTACAGATAGCCGACTGGCAGGTTCTACTGCATTTTAGAAATTTTATAATTTTCAATTTTTTTATAATTTTATTAATGACATTTTTATGTGCTGTTGATTATACTTATGTCATTGTATTTATACTTATGTATTGTTGTCTGCATGTGGCACTTGGAGTGCTCCTTTGGGGAGATGGTGGCAGAAAACAAATAAAGATTATTATTATTATTATTATTATTATTATTATTTTCTTAGTCTCAAAAGGTTAGGCATGATGGAGACAGTAGGGTCCATTTTTCACTAGTGGTTCTGAATCAATGGGAACTGACATTATATCACTTATACACATGTTAACTGATTTTTGACCAACATTTGGTTGGGTTTAGTTCAAACATTTGTGGATTTTCTGTGTGATCTAGAAGCTAGTTTTTAAAGGATATTTTTCTGTCATGGGGGAAAGAAATCCCTATTTATAAATGGTAGATCTGGGGTTCATGGGGGGGGGGGGGCTTCAGGATTTGCATAATGTGGCTTTCCCACATGTGGCTTTACACATCCCAATTATATTGAGTTTTAGCAACCTTGAGGATACCATGGACCAATATCAGGAGGAGCACATTTCAATGTGAAATAGGATAAATACCAAATTGCCACTTTGTTAAGTCAATTATAATAATAATCTGCTTTTAAATCCTCTTCCCAATATTTTATGGCATATAGAGTTCATTGAGATCTGTGCAAACCTGGGCAGACTGGGAGAAATTTCAGCTCAGACTGGTCATCCATTTAAGTACTAAGCTAACTATGATTCCTGAAAAAACAATACCCTAAATTCTGCTGTTAGTCCTAGTTACCAATAGTCATTGTACCCACTGGATTTACTTATGAGTTGGTTCATCAGCCAACAATTAATTGAATGGATAAAACTGGCCAAAAAAGAGTCCAGTAAATGTGTTTTCTGCACAGTGACAATTTTCTTGAATTTTCTTGTCCATATGTCCATACAGAAATATCTTACGAGTTATTTGCTACCTAGTTTTTTTTGTTGTGTCAGAAGCGACTTGCGAAACTGTAAGTCACTTCTGGTGTGAGAGAATTGGCTGTCTGCAAGGACGTTGCCCAGGGGATGCCCGGATGTTTTTGATGTTTTACCATCCTTGTGGAAGGCTTCTCTCATGTCCCCACATGAGGAGCTGGAGCTGATAGAGGGAGCTCATCTGCACTCTCCCCGGATTCGAACCTGCGACCTGTCAGTCTTCAGTCCTGCCGGCACAGGGGTTTAACCCACTGTGCCACTGGGGGCTCCTTTTTGCTACCTAGACTTGACCTGTTTATGAAATGCTCAGACACCTAATGAGTCAGATCCTTTCTCACACTGTTATGTTTCCTTAGTATTTTCAGGTCTTTAAAATGGAAACAATCATATTAATTGTAGATGTCCTATCCATTAATTTATCAAAAGTGAAAGTTCTCCCCAATGAGATTACCATATAATGACTGTATTCCTTTTTTATCATCTTCTGGAAGTCGATAGTTTCTTTTGTTTATATACTGATAGGTAGGATACATCAAAGCACCACGGACGTTTGAGTGATCCATGCCCAAGGAATGACCAACCTCATGTGCAACAACAGTGAAAAAATTGGTTCCTGAAACATAAAAAGCAAAGATGACAAATCATGACTACGTGTTAAACATTTTGTAAGCATTGCAAATTTCAGAAATATCAGTAATTAAGAGGAGAGATGGATGATACATTACATGGAATATTTTGATAAATATAATGTACAAGTACTTACAACCTTATCTACAATCCTAGGACATACAGAACCTTGTATACTGTTGCTGTAGTAGCATTTAGACAATATAGTGCATGTGTTTGAGCATGTTATGCAAACAGGAAGCTAGATGTTGGTTCATAGGATGTACCCCCACTCCCGTCCCCAAGATCTACAGTTGGTTTTTATTGGTATACTGTATGTAGAATATTTCCTTTTTTGTACTGCTATTTAATTGTCTCTGATTTCATAGCAATTATTTTGATAACTTCTCTGTAATGTAGTGGTTTGGATGTTGGGCTAGGATTCTGAAGGCCAGGGTTCAGTACCTCCTTAGCTATGGAAACCCATAGGCTCACCTTGGGCAAGTCACATACTTTCAGCTTCAGATGGCAATAATGGAAAACTTCCTCTGAAAAAATACTGCTATGCAAAATCCCTAATAGGTGTAACCTAGGTTTGCCATAAGCTGGAAATGACTTGAAGGCGAAAAACAAAGGGACAAGCCTGAAAATAAAAAAATAAAAACATAGTACTCTTCAATAAAATTGCCTGCTGAGTGGTGGTTGTAGCCCGCAACACGGATACAAGACTATCCTGGTAAAGAATGTGCCTTTTAATGTATGGTATGACCCTCCCTCCCTCCACACACACACACACACACACACACACACACACACACACACACATTTGCAGTCTCAAAAAGGAGCCCTGATGGTGCAGTGATTTAAACCCTTGTGCTGGCAGGACTTGTTGGCCGACAGGTTGGCAGTTCGAATCCAGGGAGTGGGGTAAGCTCTCATCTGTCGAGTTTTAGCTTCTCATGCGGGGACATGAGAGAAGCCTCCCACAGGATGGAAAAACAATCAAACATCTGGGCTTCCCCTGGGCAACACCACTTCTGACACACACACACACACACAAACACTTTTGGTCCTCTAGAAGTTTTGAACTTCAGCTTCCAGAAATTCCAGCCAATATAGCAAGAGATGTCATTCTTTGAGATCTTCTGGGGAGGCCCTGCTCTCGATCCCGCCTGCTTCTCAAGCACGGCTGGCGGGGACGAGAGATAGGGCCTTCTCGGTGGTGGCTCCTCGGCTGTGGAACGCCCTTCCTACGGACATTAGACTAGCACCATCTCTAATGGTATTCGCAGGAAAGTGAAGACCTGGCTGTTTGAGCAGGCGTTCGAATAATTAGTGCAATGATTGGTTAATGAACATTGGAACGGAATAATGGATGACGAATCTGGATCATGTTTTTGATGATGAGACGATAGTGAATAGTGAATGGTTATTGTAGTAATTGTTTATTAATTATGTAATATGTTAGGTTGTTAACTGTTTTTACACTGTAGCATTGAATTTTTGCTATTCTTATTTGTTGTGAACCGCTGTGAGTCGCCTTCGGGCTGAGAACAGCGGTATATAAGTAAAGTAAAGTAAAGTAAATAATTAAATAAATACATTACATTTTTCCCCAAAGAGGCAGCAATGAATAATTTCAGGAATCCACTCCCTGCTGAGAGAAAGTCTTGGAAAACCACAGTTTTGAGTATTTTTGTAATATTTTAAATATTATTTTCATCTCCAAAACAACGAATGAACAGAGATTCTGGAAGGTCATATTATAAAACATCTAGAAGAACAAAGATTGAGAACCAATGGCAAACAATAACTGATATAGAAAAGGAGTCCCATGTGTTTGCCTGCCAAGTGGGAGAAATAATTGATTGCAGTTTGCACTCCCATGTTCAATAATAATGTAAGAAATACTTTAAATTAGGGAGCAGAGGGACTCACCACCTGTATTTTAATTACCTCTGTTACTTGATGACCATTTCTCATCATTATCAAAGTGGGCATCTCCTCCTAGGCCTTCTCCAGGAGCATAAGCATGAGCTAGAGTTCCATCTTTCCCATCAAAAGGGTAGGAGTCGCCATGTTCTGAATAGGATGAAAAAAAGCTAGTATTACCACCAATGCAAGGAATTCCCATTCTCATCTACCAATACCTTGAAGCCTCTTCTTATTCTGTGTTAGAGCTTGTTAGATTACAGCTTATGCTAAAACTAAAGGCAACAGTTTCCTGAATTTTGGACTTTCCTTTGGAATATCTTTATGAGGACTGACAACCTGAGAGCCTACAGTTTAAAATTTACTACCACACTACTGAGAACAATGCAATCAAGAGCCCCACTGAGCCCAAAGGGACTCACCACCTGTATTTTCTTTCTTCTCTTTCTTTCTCATTTATAAAATCAAGTGCTAGTAACCTTCACCTCAAAATCATTACTCTTGGAAAAAATCTATATGCCCCCAACTAATGTTGAGATTTCAGCTAAATTCAGAGGAAATAGGAGTATCCCATGGAAATGGCAGAGATTCAGGCCTCTTCCACACTGCCCCTATATCCCAGGATCTGATCCCAGGTTATCTGCTTATCCTACATTACCTGGCTATGTAGACTCATATAATCCAGTTTAAAGCAGATAACCTGGGATCAGAGTCTGGTATATAGGGTAGCGTAGATCCCTCCTCTGGGCTCTTGAATCTGGATTTAAGAAATTTGGTTTGCTTTGGAGTGTCCACAGGCACCCATAGAACCTGTTCAAAACTGTCATTGATTCTGGTTCAAACTGAATCCAGAATTTTTAAAAAGCTTCTCCAGCAAAAAATGCTGGTTGAAAACAGCTGATTTGCATATGAGTTAAAGCAGAGAAAGCCAAGCCATTCAAATCTAGAGCCCTTCCACACAGCCATATAACCCAGAATATCATGGCAGAATAACCCACAATATCTACCTTGAATTGGATTATCCGAGTCCACACTGCCATATATCCCAGTTCAAAGCAGATAATGTGTGGAAGCAGGCATGTAGCCGGGGGGGGGGGGTGCTTGGGGGGCTTCAGCCCCCCCCCCCCCCCCGAAATTCTCATGGTGGTCCGTGAGAAGGCCTTACTGGTACATTATTTAAACTGTTTTGTTTATTCATATCATGATCTTATCACCATGCTCAATATATCCCATATGCATGGGGGTATTGGGGTACGATACAAAAGGTTTGCTAAGGTAGACCCTCTTTCACTCAGACTCACCCCCCCCCAATCAAACTCAGCCCCCCCCCCCCCCGAATCAAAATCCTGGCTATGGGCCTGTGTGGAAGGGGCCCTAGTGTTCCCATGGGAACTTTGTCCTTTCCTTACAGGATGGAAGGTATTTATTTACCTTTATGCTACATACTTAACTGGACTTCCACCTGCGACTCCTGGAGTTTAAACCTGTCCTGATAAGTGCTTTGCACTTGCAGCATTGTTCTATTCATACAGTGATTGATTTCAGCACATTTTATAGTGTGATCCAGAATTTCTGGTGAGTTTTTTTAAACATGTGGTTTCTCGCAGGATACTGCTTGAAGGTTGCACTGGAGATGAACATTTTGTAGCTATCCTAACTTTGAGCCAGCTTCCAATTGAATGATAGTGCCTATGTGGATGAGGTCTTAGTCTCTGCACATTAAAACATCCTGGTACTTTCAAATCATGGACTTTGACTCCACTACACCACTACAAAACATACAAATTGGATTTTTTTTAAGAAATGTTTTTTACATAGAGCTTTACAAATATGATTTAGTAAAGATGTCATAAACCTCTTGTGAGATTCCTCCAAATCAAATTTTACACATTTTCCAAGTGATTTGTATCATTACTACCCAACTGATTATTTTTGAATGGGAATACGTCCAATATAGTTTCTCTATAAAATAGTTGAGTCCTAAGTATGACAAATAAGTAGAACATAAAAAAGTAACTTTCAGAACACCTGGAATTCCCTAGCTAGCACAACTTATGACTGAGGAGTCTGGGAGCTGTGTTCCAGAATGTAGCTTTTCCAAATCCTGCAATTAATAATATAAACAAAGCAGCATTACCATCACTTGCAAAAAACATTTCGATATCAGCCGGTCCTGTTGTTCTTGTGAACTTGAGAGGGGTCACATCACTCCAAAGCTTGAAAGCCTTTGCAGTGTCTGATAACACTTGTTTTCTTGACAGGTCAGAAGTAGTGTTAATCACCCTTTGAAGAAAGTCAATAAATATTACATTAGTAATTAGGAAATAGTTGCTTCTTTCATCCCATTTCAAAAAGATCAAACATAGCTTACCTGTAAGTCAAGGAATTCTTTTTCCATTTTGGTTTTCCTTCGAAAGTGCTATATTCAGAGACATCAGGCATTCCACATCTGGGCTGTTTCATTATTTCCACAGTTTCGGGATCAAGTATTCCTGTTATTTTAATTTGGAAAAATTTCTGCATTTCTTTGAGAAGTATCGCTGTGTCATGTATGACTGGTTTTTTCCATTTTGGTACATAGTAACTTTCAAGGTATTTCTGGTAGGGCAAAGACAGAGGGGAGCTAGTTAAGGCTGTGTTTGTAATAATAAAGATGGAGCATAAAGATTTGAAAAAACAAACAGTATCTGAACAAATTTTACCTATATTTTTTAGAACAGTTGATATTCTGAGCTACCTCAATTGGTCATACTGACAAGACTCTGGAAGCTGTAGTCCAAAAATATAGTAACGCATACATGTGAGCAAGTAGAATTAGTCTATGAAAGCTTACATGACCAACTTCATTCTCTCAATTAGACTTTAAGGTGCTACAAGATCCCTTTACATTTTTATATTTCAGATTACAACAAGTATGTCTCTGAAGTCCAAAAACAGTAATGTTCCCAAGCTCTGATTTTCTACTCTCTTTTAATGGAGATCAGCATTATTGGAACCATGGCTGAAGCAATAGGGGAATGAAAGACAATTCGAGGTGTACCTGTTGTAAACAATTCTCATCTGAACATGAGGAAGAACTTCCTGACTGTGAGAGCCGTTCAGCAGTGGAACTCTCTGCCCCGGAGTGTGGTGGAGGCTCCTTCTTTGGAAGCTTTGAAACAGAGGTTGGATGGCCATCTGTCAGGGGTGATTTGAATGCAATATTCCTGCTTCTTGGCAGGGGGTTGGACTGGATGGCCCATGAATCATAGACATAGAATCATAGAATCAAAGAGTTGGAAGAGACCTCATGGGCCATCCAGTCCAACCCCCTGCCAAGAAGCAGGAATATTGCATCCAAATCACCCCTGACAGATGGCCATCCAGCCTCTGTTTAAAAGCTTCCAAAGAAGGAGCCTCCACCACACTCCGGGGCAGAGAGTTCCACTGCTGAACGGCTCTCACAGTCAGGAAGTTCTTCCTCATGTTCAGATGGAATCTCCTCTCTTGTAGTTTGAAGCCATTGTTCCGTGTCCTAGTCTCCAAGGAAGCAGAAAACAAGCTTGCTCCTTCCTCCCTGTGGTTTCCTCTCACATATTTATACATGGCTATCATATCTCCTCTCAGCCTTCTCTTCTTCAGGCTAAACATGCCCAGTTCCCTAAGCCGCTCCTCATAGGGCTTGTTCTTCAGACCCTTGATCATTTTAGTCGCCCTCCTCTGGACACATTCCAGCTTGTCAATATCTCTCTTGAATTGTGGTGCCCAGAATTGGACACAATATTCCAGGTGTGGTCTAACCAAAGTGGAATAGAGAGGTAGCATGACTTCCCTAGATCTAGACACTATGCCACTATTGATGCAGGCCAAAATCCCATTGGCTTTTTTTGCCGCCACATCACATTGTTGGCTCATGTTTAACTTGTTGTCCACGAGGACTCCAAGATCTTTTTCAAGAGACCATGTTCCAACTCTTTGATTCTATGATTCTATGATTCATGCTGATGTTCATTTACAAAATTATCTATATTCTCATTAATTTCTTCTGAAGATTTTCATCCAGTTTTATGGGTTGATCCACACTTTGGCATGCACTGAGTATTTGAAATGTAGTTTAAGTGGCTTGTAATTAGCTTGCCACCTTGTTTTCGTTGGATCTACTTGTTGTCTTCAGCTGGAGCTACATGGAGAGAAGCTACAGATGTTACAAATATCATTTAATGTATCTCAACAGCAAATTCTTTTCTCAAAATAGCAGCACAAAAGCACAACACTACAGATTCAGTTCTATGCAACAGCTGATAAAGCTTACATACCTTTACGATTTTGGGATCCAAGAGCTTTGTCAATAGAGATTTCTGAGCTACTGGAGGGGCAAAACCACAAGGAAGCAGCATGAGAAAACCTAACAGTATAATGTGCCTCATGATGGGAGTTGTCAGTCTCTGTTGAACACTGTTCGTCTTTGACTATCAATGTATCCCAGCCACAGAGGCCAGAGTTTATATAGGTCTGACCAGTGACATCTTGTAAAATGCAGATGACTCAATTTATGGCATTTACCTGTTTCTTTGTTCATGTTTCTATTTTTTTCAAGTGTCATGATCTCAAAATGATTGGGAGGAAGCATTAAATGATATCTCTCCTCTTTGTCCTCCTTGTTGACATTTCCATTGATGTCATGCCTGAGCAGAAGGTATTTTGTTTCCCCCCCATTTTCAATCCTTCTTTCATCTGCCAAAGCCACAGGATACAGGGAAGTTGGCTCCTTTCAACTCAACCAACACATCTCTTGTTTGACCCCACCTTGTTCACTTGTCCAATCCTTTGTTTCCCACTGAGATTCCTTGTAATGTATTTCTTCTGTCAAAAAACTTGACCAGGTAGAGAAGTTCAAAACTGAGGACTCATTCACAATTTAGCTTTATAGTTACTGTATATACTTGAGTATAAGCCTAGTTTTTCAACCCCCTTTTTAGGCTGAAAAAGCTCCCCTCGTCTTATACTCAAGTCAAGGTTATATATTATTTTACTCTGTTATTATTTTTATTACATTTCTTATTTTACTCTATTTATTATTATTATTATTATCATTATTATTACATTTACATTTTTTTACTCTATTATTATTTTTATTTTATTATTATTACATTTATTATTTTCTCTATTTATTATTGTTATTACATTTATTATTTTACTCTATTATTGTTGTTACATTTATTATTTTACACTATTTTTATTACATTTATTGTTTTACTCTATTATTATTGGAAGGATATGTAAGAATATTTACATTGAAGAAGATTATAATAATGGTTTAATCAGAGTGGATAGTCTTATCTTAAATTACAATTTTATGTAAATATTCAATAACATTTAACCTACTAATGCCACAGAAATGTTACATTTGTTTGTTGTTGTTGTTCATTCGTTCAGTCGTCTCCGACTCTTCGTGACCTCATGGACCAGCCCACGCCAAAGCTCCCTGTCGGCCGTCACCACCCCCAGCTCCTTCAAGGTCAGTCCAGTCACTTCAAGGATGCCATCCATCCATCTTGCCCTTGGTCGGCCCCTCTTCCTTTTCCTTCCATTTCCCCCAGCATCATAGTCTTCTCTAAGCTTTCCTTTCTTCTTACGATGTGGCCAAAGTACTTCAACTTGTCCTCTAATATCCTTTCCTCCAGTGAGCAGTTGGACTTTATTTCCTGAAGTATGGACTGGTTGGATCTTCTCGCAGTCCAAGGCACTCTCAGAACTTTCCTCCAGCACCACAGTTCAAAAGCATCTATCTTCCTTCGCTCAGCCTTCCCTAAGGTCCAGCTCTCACATCCGTAGGTTACTATCAGGGAATACCATGGCTTTGACTAGGTGGATCTTTGTTGCCAGTGTGATGTCTCTACTCTTTACTTTTATCGAGACTGGACATTGCTCTCCTCCCAAGAAGTAAGCGTCTTCTGATTTCCTGGCCACAGTCTGCATCTGCAGTAATCTTTGCACCTAGAAATACAAAGTCTGTCACGGCCTCCACGTTTTCTCCCTCTATTTCCCAGTTGTCAATCATTCTTGTTGCCATAATCTTGGTTTTTTTGATGTTTAGCTGCAACCCGGCTTTTGCGCTTTCTTCTTTCACCATGATTAGAAGGCTCCTCAGCTCCTCCTCGCTTTCGGCCATCAGAGTGGTGTCATCTGCATATCTGAGGTTGTTAATGTTTCTTCCAGCAATTTTCACCCAGCTTTGCATTCATCAAGCCCCGCACATCGCATGATGTGTTCTGCATACAAGTTAAAAAGGTTGGGTGAGAGGATGCAGCCTTGCCGTACGCCTTTCCCAATCTTGAACCAGTCTGTTGTTCCATGGTCAGTTCTTACTGTTGCTACTTGGTCCTTGTACAGATTCCTCAGGAGAGAGACAAGGTGGCTTGGGATGCCCATCCCACTAAGAACTTGCCACAATTCATTATGATCCACACAGTCAAAGGCTTTAGAATAGTCAATGAAGCAGAAGTAGATGTTTTTCTGAAACTCCCTGCCTTTCTCCATTATCCAGCGGATATTGGCAATCTGGTCTCTCGTTCCTCTACCTTTTCTAAACCCAGCTTGAACATCTGGCAACTCTCGCTCCAGGTATTGCTGGAGTCTTCCTTGCAGGATCTTGAGCATTACCTTACTGGCATGAGAAATAAGGGCCACTGTACGGAAGTTTGAGCAGTCTTTCGCATTTCCCTTTTTTGGTATGGGGATATAAGTTGATTTTTTCCAGTCTGATGGCCATTTTGTGTTTTCCATATTTGCTGGAAAATGGCATGCATCACCTTGACAGCATCATCTTTTAAGATTTTAAACAGTTCAGCTGGGATCCCGTCATCTCCTGCTGCCTTGTTGTTAGCAATGCTTCTTAAGGCCCATTCAACCTCACTCCTCAGGATGTCTGGTTCTAATTCATTCACCACACCGTCAAAACTATTCTCAATATTATTATCCTTCCTATACAGATCTTCTGTATAGTCTCGCCACCTTCTCTTGATCTCTTAAGCTTCTGTTAGGTCCCTGCCATCTTTGTTTCTTATCATACCAATTTTTGCCTGAAATTTACCTCCAATGTTTCTAATTTTCTGGAAGAGGTCTCTTGTCCTTCCTATTCTGTTGTCTTCTTCCACTTCCATGCATTGCTTATTTAAAAATAGTTCCTTATCTCTTCTGGCTAACCTCGGGAATTGCGCATTTAACTGGGCATATCTCCCCTTATCCCTGTTTCCTTTTGCTTTCCTCCTTTCTTGGGCTACTTCCAGTGTCTCAGCAGACAACCATTTTGCCTTCTTGGTTTTCTTTTTCTTTGGGACGTACTTTGTTGCCGCCTCCTGAACAATGTCTCGGACTTCTGTCCATAGTTCTTCTGGGACTCTGTTTACTAAATCTAGTCCTTCAAATCTGTTCTTCACTTCCACTGTATATTCGCTAGGAATGTTAGTGAGATCATATCTAACTGGTCTGTGTATTTTCCTTGATCTCTTTAGTTTTATTCTAAATTGGGCAATAAGAAGTTCGTGATCTGAGTTACAGTCAGCCCCAGGTCTTGTTTTCACCGACTGGATGGATGTCCGCCACCTTTGGCTGCAAAGGATGTAGTCAATCTGATTTCGGTGTTGACCGTCTGGTGAGGTCCATGTGTAAAGCCGTCTTTTAGGTTGTTGGAAGAGAGTATTCGTTATACACAGCGAGTTTTCCTGGCAAAATTCTATCAGCCTGCGTCCCGCTTCATTTTGTTCTCCCAGACCATGCTTGCCTGTGATCCCTGTTGTCATTTGACTTCCCACCTTGGCATTCCAGTCTCCTGTAATGAAAATAATGTCTCTTTTTGGTGTATTATCCAGTAGGTCCTGCAGATCCTCATAGAACTGATCTACTTCTGCTTCTTCAGCAGCTGTGGTTGGGGCGTATATTTGGATCACTGTAATGTTGAAAGGCTTTCCTTGCACTTGAATTGAGATCATTCTGTCATTTTTTGGGTTGTATCCAAGCACCGCTTTAGCGAATTTCTTATTAATTATGAAGGCTACTCCATTTCTTCGATGTTCCTCTTGTCCGCAGTAGTAGATCTGGTGGTCATCTGATGTGAAGTGGCCCATTCCAGTCCACTTCAGTTCGCTGACCCCCAGAATGTCTATCTTTAGTCTTGACATCTCGCCAATAACAACATCCAATTTGCCATGGCTCATAGATCTTACATTCCAGGTTCCTATGGTGTGTTGATCTTTAGAGCATCGGATTCGTCGTTCACCTCCAGTACCGTCGGCCGCTAGCCTTCCTTTCGGCTTTGAGCTAGCTGCGTCATCACATCTGGGGCTAGTTGAACTTATCCTCTGCTCCTCCCCAGTAGCATTTTGGCCATCTTCCGACCTGGGAGTCCCATCTTCCAATGGCATACCGACATATCTGTGGTTGTACTGGTCCATTTAGTTTTCTTGGCAAGGATACTGGAGTGGTTTGCCATTGCCTTCCCCAGGGATCACGCTTGGTCTGACCTCTCTGCCACAACCGTCCCGTCTTGGGGGTCCCTTCACGGTTTCTCATGACATCATTGAGATGCTCAAGCTCCAGCGCCCCGACAAGGCGGTGAATTTTACTGGAATCTAAAGGTAATTTTATTGGTATTTAGCTGCTGCATATCTCACCCTCAGCTTATACTTGAGTCAATACATTTTTCCAGATTTTTGTGGCAAAATTAGGTTCCTCGGCTTATATTTGAGTTGGCTTATACTCGAGTATATATGGTACATTTGTGAAGTAGTGACTTCAAAAAAACCAATTATGAGGGAAAATGTAACCCACTTGTTAATTGATCCATTTGTCCAAGACAGCGTCACTAGCATATTTTCTAAAATTTCACAGGTAAAAACTGGGATACATGTGGTCAAGTAACATCGGCATGTGGATAAGATGACAGAGTTATTAATGAGGAAGAACATGCAAGCTTAGAAAGGCTACAGAATCTTGCTTTTGAGTGATCTTACGTGGTGTAGTCATCTGAGTGTTGGACTGTGATTTTGAAGAATAGAGTTCAAATCCCTGATTGGCCATGGGAACCTACTTGAGCCATACTTTCTCAGTCTCAGCATCTTCCAGACAGGCCCTATATCTCAGGATCTGATCCCAGGTTTTCTGCTTTAAACTGGATTATATGAGTCTGCACTGCCAGATAATCTGGGATAAACAGAAAACCTGGGATCAGATCCTGGGATATAGGGCCTCTCTGGAAGGGCCCTCAGAAAACCCCATGATGGGGATCACCTTAGGACCACCAGAAGCTAAAAACGCCTTGAAGGCATACTTACTTACTTACTTAGGCGATCCCTCATAGTCTGAGGATGATGGTCCTCCAAGTGTAGTGTCCTGGCGGTGGGTCCGTAGGTGACTGTGGAGCCCTATTCTTGATCTGCATCTTCGCCCACAGTGAGGGCATCGGTTTCCAGGTGGAAGGCG